GATGCATAATGAAAGCTCAACCATCTGAACCATCTTGGAACCTAAATACTTTATAATTCAAACACTGAACATTATTTGTTATGAATATTGCTTTCATGTTTTTATTACTCTCACTGTACATGTTTTCTCTTATCTTCACTACTGCTGATAAGATATACAGAACTACTTGGTGTGAAAACAATACCAGGTTAATGTGGCTAATCCCTAGTCCTTGATATATCATTAAATAAATCTTTTTTAAAAAAAATAATTCAGTGAAATAGCACTTCAAAATATCTTCTTTTAAAAACTGTCAGGGTGATTAATATCATGTGGGTAACGCAAGTAGATGGCAAATCTCTGATTGCTCATGATCTTTCCACATATAGAAATATATTTTCTAGCTGTTCTCTTTGAGACACTGGTGACATTTTATTTAATAACTGAAAATTTCACAACTGCACAATGGATTTATGAGGACTAAAACCTGGGAAATAGCTTGTAGAGAGATGCTGCATAACTGGGCACTACAACTAGAATTCTTGCAGTGGAAGCAGAAGAACACACAAACATAATGACGAGAGTTTAGTCAATGTATGTGTTTATTCTTACTGTATGTAGTTCTTTCCCTTTATTTCAGGCTGCAAAACTAGTCAGAATATTACAGTTTAAGGTTAGTAAAATACAGTGGGCTCTTGGTATCCACTGGGGTTTGGTTCTAGAACTTTTTGTGGATACCAAAATCCATGGATGTTCGTCCCATTTAATGCAATAGCATGGGGAAATTGTGTCCTTTCTATAAAATGGTAAAATCAAGCTTTGCTTTTTAGCTTTTTTGGGGGGTGGGGGTGGGTTGTATTTTACAGCTGCTGAATCCATGAATATAGTGTCCATGGATAAGGAGGACTAACTGTATTAACAATATTAATATTCATATTTGAACAAAAATTGGTCATGGACCAACTTCCACTAGCAATGGGACTGAAATTAGTCACAAGTACTATCAGTGCATATACCTATCCTTGGGACTTCCTTGAGAGGAACAGTAGTTTAGTGAATGGCACATGCTTTGAATACATGAGTCCTGGATAAATTCCCAGAGTGCCTACTTCAGAGGATCAAAGATGGAACATCTGAGAAAGGCTCTGACCTCTTGAAGGGTCACTGCAAAGTGGAGAAGACAGTAGTAGTCCATGATCTGCTTTCTGTTATCTCCACCAAAAAGTTTTCATTGTGATTTTCTCTTTGAGGAGAGGCCATTGCTTCACAATAGGGCACATGCTTACAATGAGGAATGTCCTGGGTTGAAAAGCAGGCTTGGTTGTGAAAGACTTCTGCTTGTAGTTCTGGAAAGCAGCTGCTTTGGGTTATTCTGAGTTGGATAGACCTGCAGACTCCCTTCAAATAAGGCAATGTTGCATAATCTTTGAGGATTTCTTCACAGCTCACCACAGCTGTCCATGATGAAACAAATAATAGAGACCTAATAGCAGTAGGAGTGGTTGCCCTTCATCAGGTGATGAGACTTCTTCGCTGTAGCCCCTACACAATAGAACCCTTTCGAATTGTGCAGAAACAACATTGGAAGGCATATTGTTCCTTTTTGAACTTGCTTCCTCTCTTAGAATCCCAGGCAGGGATGTAGCAATGAGGGACGGGCAAAATGAGGGTATTGCCCCACAAGTACGAATTTTGCTTCCCCAATTAAATTTCCCTTCAGTCCCCAAATTTCCAGCATTTCAAGCATTTAGAAATACAGATTAAACATCCAAAGGAAAGGCATACTCTGTCAAAATCCTAAAACTAACACTTTACAAATGTATTAAAAGGAAGCTTTTCCCTGTATGTGGGTTGTGTGCTGCTCACCTAAGGAACATCTGCAGCTGTGTGTTTATCCTCATTTTAGCTCGCACACGAACACCATCTAGGCATTTATCAGAAGAAAGCAAATTTAATAATCTTGGCCATTCAAAGTTTGAAGAAATTTCATGTGGGCAGCTTCTCCGCAAGTTTGCAGGGAAATCACAGCTCATTAGACTTGATTAATGGTTTGAATCATTATAATAGAGACTTGCACAGTCTGCTTTTACTTGCTAGACACTGTCATTTAGTTTATACAACTGTTTTGCATGCGAAAAATATTGTATTTTAAATTGATTTGCTTACTTGGAAGCATTGCTGCAGACTTTCTAATTAAAACACATTAATTGTTTTTTTTTAAAATACTACCTATAAAAACTTTTTTGCACAGAAAAGTTTTATAGGAATTGATACATAAACTCCTCTGCCTGTCGTTAGCATTTGTCTCCATCTCCCAGTGAATATTGTCTTGCTACACCCTTGGCTTCTAGGCTCTCTTTAGGTCAGCCTTCTGTGTGGAATTGACAAACTGCGTGTCGAAACATCCTGCCCCTCCTCTATATTACTACTAGTAGAATTGAGCTGTAGAAAAGTAAAGAATTTAGAGCTTCCCCCCAAAATTACTTATGCAGATGCATAATGACCAGTGCCCTTTAGTACACTGCTTACAGATGGCGACCCATAGGGTAGCTGGCAGTGATGATGATCGCCATCACTTATTATTTGTAGAATGCCAATCACAAAACAAGAGGCCATGCAAAATTTTAAAAGGCTCACTCTCTTAGCTTGTAACAACTGGGAATTAGAAAGGAAGGCATGAAAATCAGTTGAATAACCAACTGCACTACCAGAAATCCCTCATTATCACCCATAGCCTGTTCTCATGAGGAGTAATTGTATAACTTGCTCAGAAAGACCTTTGGGTCACCAGAACCAGCTGTAATGATCAGTGCCCAGGGAATGGAATCAAGATGTTTTGGGGATGCAATTTCCACATAGTTTAAAAATGCATCATGGAAAGAGATGATAGAAGAGGATACTTAAGAAAGGTAGTGGAAGAAAGCTGTCAACAAGGCAGTACTTGCCTGATAGATGTGGAAGGGCAAGAGCACTAGGTAAAATCGGAAAAAGCTGCTGATGTAGACAATTTCAGGGCTTTGGAGCAGGGACTCGTATCAGAGTAAAATGTAAAAAGAAGCCAAGGTCTTTAGCAAGAATTCATAGTAATGTCTCGCTAGGGTAAGGTTGGAGCCATAGAAATATAGTAAGAGGTCCTCTTCTCACACAGTCACCCAGGGGCAAAGTGTGTGTGGTTACCGGGCCTTAACAAAGCTGGGTCAAAAAAGTTTGAGGCTGGTGGTGTATGACCATTTGACAAAAAAGCATTAGTTTGAACTTTGGGTTTAAGTTCGCCCATCCCGGACACTAACAGCTTAATTTTATCCATCTACAAACATTGTTTTTAGGATCCACTGAGACTGAATTTAATCATGATCTTGATGGCTGGTGTTGATTTGGGAATGATTTTTCATGTTCTACTGAATAATATGTGGATTAATCTGACCTAAAGATTCATTTATAATTTCAGTGAATCTTTAGTGCTACAAATGGGCAAGATGTTTTTATAATGCGGTTGTTGATTTCAGTAGTTTGATCTGATAAGTGTTTTATGAAAACCGAGTTCCTTGCTACTTCTTGAGGGAATAACTCCGAATTCACATTGGAAGTAAATATTAAGTTTAAAAAAATCCCTATTCTTCTGACAATGGCTTTTTGAGATGAAAATAGGCCTTTTCAGATACTATTCCAAAATGTATTCATTACACAGCTAGCTTTTTATTCAAAAATGTCATTAATCCAGTACAAGAAATTGTGTTGACATCACAGGCTGATGGGTGTTGGTTAATAGCATCTCAAAAGTGTATTTTTCAGAGACCACTATGGTTAATATTTATTTGTTTGTTTGTTTGTTTACTTCATTTCTACCCCGCCTTTCTCACCCCTCAAGGGACTCAAGGCGGCTTCCAACTCCGGCAAGAATTCAATGCCAGTAAAATCAACAATAAAACTATAACAAATATCCCCTCAGTTAAAAATCAATTAGCAGTTAATATAAAATATATAAAAGGTGCACAGCTCAATTCATCTAAAATCCTTGCACTTAATTCTTATTCAGACCATATTGAAACCCATAGTAACTTATTCTTCAAATGCTTGTGTGCAAAGCCAGGTCTTCAGCTTTTTTTCTAAAAACTAGAAGGGATGGGACCTGCCTGCTGTCTCTGGGGAGGGAGTTCTACAACTGAGGAGCCACCACTGAGAAGGCCCTGTCTCTCATCCCCACCAATTGCGCTTGTGAAGACGGTGGAACTGAGAGCAGGGCCTCCCCAGATGATCTTAAAGTTCTAGTAGGCTCATAAGAGGAGATGCGTTCAGAGATGTGTATCCCAAAACTGTAATATTAAAGAGTGTTTAAATGGTGTGTTGATGCTAAATATGTCTCTTTGGACTATGACCATAAATTGTAAGATTAAGGAACCAGAACATGATGAGACAGGCCTCCAAAGAGAAATCAGCTGACAAATGGCAAAGAATCCTCATTTTCTCATTCTAAAAAGTTGGGGTGATATGAGGAGCCATGTGTGTTTCACTCTAGGATTTCATTCTTAAATCAGTAATATCAGATAACAGTAAACAGATATTCAGATACCTGAAAAATGTCTTCTTCCTGTTTTCTCTTCAGTCGGTTCATGTGATCTTGTTGCCACATCCGGGCCATTTGGCGGAGATATCATGGAACCTCTCTAGGCAGTCTGTGTATTTGCTTTAGGGTAGTAAATTGCTCTGAAATTATAGAGTCATCTCTAGAAACCATTCAAGTGGTTTCCATATAGCATCGGTCCTTTTGACTATAGTTCAGAATTCTAAAACCTCATTTTCTAGCATCAGATGTTTGTAAGAAAGCTTGAGAACCCTAGTTTTATTGTCCCTTCATTTTCTCTGTGCCTTCCATAGTTTCAACATATAAAATGTCAAATGTGGATTCTTTTGAGTTGCTTTTGGTTTTTTCCCCTTTAAAAAAAGTAATAAGTTAGTAATCACAAATTGCCAAGTGACATTACTATTGATACTTTTACACTTATTTATTTTTATAATTATAGATTTATGCCAGAACACAAAAAGACCCATGTTGAGAAGGCACCAGGTTCCAATGCAAATGAAAATATAAGTGCTCCTCATTTTATGGATCTACCTTTCCAAGAAAAGAACACTGGGATTTCAGATTCAACAAGCCTCGACAGCTCAGATTGTGGGCCTGGCAATGATGAAGTACAGTCTGGATTTTGCTCCCTATTACCAAAGAGGTTGCATAACCCATCAGCAACACTAGAGGACATGAACAAACCAACATCTGAACGCACAAATATTTGTGAAGAAAATAGAAAACTTATGACTTGTGCCTTGAGCTGCATCCCAGAAGAATTGGACTATCAGCAGAAACCTTTGCACATTGTTTGGCCTCACAGGTG